TATTTTTTTTTTTTTTTTTTAGTTTATTTTTTTTTTTTTTTATGGTTTGGGGGTTTAACCCCAAAAAAAAAAAAAAAAAAAAAACGAAAAAAAAAACACATTCATCCCATTGTCAATCTTTGCAACAAAACTGCCATTGACCCCCTGAACAACATTTCTACTCTCCACAAAAATAGATCCCCTAGAAAAAGCTCAGACACTTTTAGCTGAACCTATCCAACTCCATGCTCACAGTTTTTCCTTTTGCTGTCAGGATGCAGATTTGTTTGAAAAAGCCATAGAACCAACAGATTTAAGAATTTATTTTTACCTGCCATTACTGTCCTTTTAAACATTTCAAGTGTCTACTAGTAGTTATGTTTTTTTTTTTGTTTTTTTTTATGTTCTTATTGGAATTCTGCGGTGTTATCTATTCTACTACTGTGTTTATTTATTATTGGTGAATATATTTTCTGCTGGCTGTAATAAGAATTGTGCCATGAGGAGAAGCCTTGACCTTGAATTGAGTCTGGTCATAAACATACAGCCAGACTTACACTGGAATGGTTTAGATGAAGAACCTGCATTATACCGTCAACTGCCTAAAAAAATGGCTTGAGTTTTCGAAAAGTGATTTTGACGGGAAAAAAAAAAAAAAAAAAAAACTAACAAAAAACAACATTAAAAAAAAATTAAACAGAACTATATTCAACAGTTACCATTCTCTTTCTGTTTAGGTAGCAGCTATGTCTCCAGCTGGAACAGGGCCTTTCAGCAAACCTTTGTACATAAAGACATCTGAGTCACGTGAGTGGTAGAACATGTCCTGACCTGCTTTCCATCCAAAACGAAACATGTGCAGTCAAAACTTGTGTTTTCATGCATTCCCTGCAGCCCCCGGCCTGGTGACCAATCTGACGGCGTACGCTCAGAACTACACCTTCGTCGTCGTTACCTGGTTCCTGCCGCACCGCATCAACGGCCTCATCACAAAGTTTGCCGTCAAAGCAAAACACGTTCGAACGGGTCAGACGGTCCGCGTACTGGAAGTCAACGCAGAGGAAATCATGACTGGAGCTCTCCCTCACTGCAATGTACTAGATCGTCCTGGCACAAAAATTGGATTTATCCTCAAAAACAATTATTTTCTGTTTAATTTATTCATAATTTTACGTCTTCAGGATGCGGCTGATATTTTGTCACGAGCAACTCCCAGCCCCTTGGAGATAACCGCATCGTCTCCCATCACCCTCTCTGCTGTGCCTCCCGCAGCCTCTTGGAATATTCCCATATCAGTAGGAGTAGATCAGCTGCGACCTTACACGGCCTATCTGTTTGAGGTTTCTGCATTCACATCTGATGGAGAGGGACAGGTAGCCTCCACCATGGTCCGCATGCCAGAATCAGGTGTGTATAAACAAAAAAAAAATTTGGAACATCATCAGGTTTTCATAGTGTTTCTGTTCTTTTGTGTTTAATGATGACAGCACCCGAGGGTCCACCTGAAAACTTTTCAGTGTTGAACATGACATCCAGGTCAATTTCTGTGTCGTGGAGCTCTCCCAGCATCATCACTGGAAAGTTCTCCTATGTGCTTTACCTTTATGGACCTACAGGTTGTTTATTATTTTAAACATTCCATAAAATCCACTCATGTAAACAAATAGCAAAAAACATATGTTTCTTTTTTTTCTTCTTCTTCTTCTTCTTCTTCAGGTTTTTTGTATGACAACAGCACATTGGATACGCGTTTTCTTTTTACTGGGTTGACTCCCTACACCACCTACAGAGTAGCCGTCCGAGCAAAAGCCGCGGGAGAGGTGGGACCAGCAGCTCAGGAGGTCATAGTAACACCAGCTGAAGGTGACAGGACTGAGAACGCACTCACATGAGTGTCTTCCATTCTCATGAAAACTTTCAGAGAACTAAAAGAAAAAGCTTTTGTTCTTTTTTCAGCACCGAGCGCAGTGCAAAACCTGGAGGCTGTAGCTGAGGACTCGGTTTCAATTCGTGTTAGCTGGAGAAGCCCCGCCCAGCCCAACGGCCCCATAACTCAGTACAGACTGCAGGTCCTGGCTGATGACACTTTGCTGCAGGACATCACCCTCACGTCAGGGGTAAAGAGGTTATAATGGGCTAAAAAGTGATGTGAATAATGATTTATCTGATATTTCACTGTATAGCTACATATATGACTGTACATGTTTCATCTTTTCCTTAACCAGCAGATTCTGAACTTGTTTGACTTTGATCTGTTATCAAATTACATTTTAAATTGTGGTGAATTATTTTGTGCTCCTGTGATGTGTTTTCCTCTGTAAACATGACAAGTTAAATATTTTCATTGCCATAAATGCTATGTAAGTTTGCAGAAGAATTACAATTACTTCATTTCCTTTAAGTGTATTTTATTCTGACATTCACTTGAATTCTAACAGATGTTTCTTGGGATATATTCAAGTGCAAGCCTACCTATGCATTCAGTTTAACTGCTGGTATTGAACTTCCATTACGTGTGAATATGTTAATCAAAAGTAGTAAATCGGAGCTGTTATTCCAAAACCTTGAATACATTTTACTGCACTCATCCACTGATTCCTAAGTAAAATTAAACTTTTCTATCTTGCTTTTCTTTCTTCCCCTCAGAATATAACCGATTCACATGAGAATGAAACACTTCCTCCAAATGTCGACAACACTCTGAGGCGGAGAAAGAGATCTGATGAGCTCAGTCCGGTCACGTCGCCGCTGACTTTCACGGCTACAGTTTCAGCCCGCACTCCGCCCACTGGAATGACTGCCTCCAGCTTTGCTCGCTCAGAAAGCAGAAGCACTGATCACACTGCCAACACTGATTTTCAGCCTACCCTCCACCTTGCACTCGCCGATGAGTCCAGCCCGGGTTATGATTCAGAAAACATTATTGAGTCTTCTGACAATGTCAGCTCTAGGACGTCGGCTCTGCCCGTGACGTCTGTGTCACGTAATACCCATCCGCCCTGGCTCACGGAGCAGTCACGCACAGACGCCGTGACCTCAGCCAGCTCCGCCTTGGGTCTTACTCCAGGTCAGCTGCGCCTGTCCACACGTGATGTTTCATTTACTGGGAACGTGTCGACACGCAGTGGAGCAGTGACAGGAACTCCAGGTGCACCAAGTGCTCCATATACTACATGTTTCACTTTACTTTGTATGTATGTACCCTCATGAACAACGTGTGCTCTGAATCCCTGACCCAGGTGTTACCATAAGACAAGAAGTGGTGGACGTTTTGTCCAAGGAGCTTTCGTACTTGGTGTCGGATCTGAGTCCTTTTACTGAATATGTGTTCAGAGTCACTGCCTCCACCACTGCTGGGGAGGGACCTGCTGCAGATACCACTGAGAAGACCAGTGAGCAGGGTATGAAAAAAGGAGGGAGCCCTGTTGGGAGCACGGCCTAAAGCAAGGGTTTCTTTACCTTCAGTAACATCTTGCATTTTCCTTCTAGTTCCCAGCTCGGTGCTTGAAGTGTCCTATCAAAATATAAGCTCCACATCAATTCTTGTGAATTGGGTCCCACCACTCAATCCCAATGGGCGGATCACACATTACAGCGTATACGGCCTCAATCTGCGCAGCAGTCAAGCCATGAAGTGGGTTACTAACACCACCAGCATATTAATATCAGGTACAGAGTTCATTCCATGAGAAAATATCAATATATTGTGCTAATTTCTCTTTTCAAGACTATGTACTTTGGAGTCTAGAGAATACATGATGATGCATGTTTTTTTTTTTTGTTGTTGTTGTTTTTGTTTTGTCTTTTGTCTGGTTTGATGTGTAGATCTGGACAAGTACACGGGCTACAAGCTACGTGTAGCTGCATCTACAGCTGTGGGAGAGAGCACTCTGTCAGAGGAGGATGATGTTTTTGTTTTTACTTTAGAGGATGGTATGAAATAATCATACATACACAATATCTAATTTTCACTGTTGAAAAAAATTATTAAGCTATTGCAGTTAAAAAAAAAAAGAAAAAGAAAAAATATTTTCCTTCTCAAAATGTCAAGGATATTAAGTGCCTGGATTCTGTGTTTGTCATTTCATCTAAAAGGAAACTTTAAATCCTCTCTGGGTAATATGCTGCCCATCTTTTTCTCAGAGCCCGACTCCCCTCCTGAAAATCTCTCAGTGGTTGAAACGAGCCCCTCTACAGCCTCTCTGACCTGGTCGGCTCCAGAGAAAGCTAATGGAGTGATCCAGTACTATGAGGTCTTTTATGAAAACGACTCCTACTTCGCAGTGATGAACACCACTTCAAACAGAGTCACTCTGACCGGTTTAAAGCCGTTCTCGTTTTACAACGTGTCTGTAAGGGCATACACTCGCTACGGCAACGGCAACCAAACGTCCGAAACGTTGAACCTGCTGTCTGGAGAAGATGGTGTGTTGAAGGATGTACAGTAGTATTTAAGCCTCTTGACCCTGGCCATGATTTGTCATGTTATAACTTGCAACTCAAATGTGTATTATTTGGATATGATTTGACAGAAAACAAAAAACAAAATGGTAGAAAAAGCAGAAAATGTACGTATGTCGATTCTTCTTTGCAAAGTTCCTCAGGCTCAGTCCGATTGGATAAACATCTATGCAAATTTATGTTATGTCTTGCACTAGATTTGAAATCTCGGCTTTGACTGGGCCACGATAATGGGTGCGCGTGGGTGCTCAAAGTTTGGCCTGTGGGCCATTTACAGCCCAAGGGAGAGTTTTTGTGTGGCCCGTAATTGCAACTTTAAAATGGTACAAATCTGAACTGGCATTACAGGCAGTTAAAGTCGATGGACACCTGTCAGGGCAAGAGTTTCACTGATAAATACATCTTAGAATAGAAAATGTTTGTCTTTCATTAAACCCGTTTTTGTTGTAATTTTAATTCCCTAGTACCCAAACAATAAGTTATATCCTTAAATCAAATTCTTCTGTCACCATCATTACATTCAGCTCAGTGACTTTGATCCATGTGGCAAAAAAAATAAATAAATGTTTCTGTGTCTTTGCCTTTTCTTTTCCACTATTCCAAGAAAAAGAAAATATAAACTATGCTCTCTACTGTCACATGCAATCCCAATAAATGACATTGAGATTTGTGGTTGTAACATGACAAAATGTGGAAAGGTTTAAAATATACAATTCCTGCAAGGCAGTTTTCACAAATACACACATGGAAGAATAACCAGAAACTATACCAGACTCTGTATCCCCTCTGCAGTTCCAGGCAGTCCTCCATATGGACTTTCCTACGAGTCAATCAGCCCCAGTGAGGTGAATGTGTCGTGGTACGCTCCTCTGCATCCGAACGGCGTTGTTACTCACTACAGCCTGGAGCTCTGGAACTCCACCCATCACCTGAACCTCACCTCACTGACCAACTCCCTCCACATCACCCACCTGAGGAAGTACGCTCAGTACCGCATTGCGGTTCAAGCACACACTCGAGCAGGGCCAGGAAACTACAGCAGCGAGCCACTCAACATCACCACACTCGAGGATGGTGAGAGGGATGGGCAAGGGGGCTGGCATTGAGAAAAGGGGAGGGCTTGGGTTCACTTTCAGGTCCTTGTGAGATGACGTCTTCTCTGATCAAATCAGACGTTCTTGCAAGGGTGCGTCTCTGTGCTTCAGCTAACGCTAATGATGTCACATCCCAGGTTTCTCAGCCTACAAGAAACCCGGATGTCTCATCCGGACTCATTGTTGCAACAAGAGGAAATAAACTAACAGTTTTTGCATTTCAGGAGACCATTCCATTCCTCTCTTGGCGCTTTTCTTGGAGCAGTCACAGCTTTCTTCTTTGCACCCTTGCCAAATCTTTGAGAAGTTGATCCACCTAACTTTTCAGTTGATGTTTGTTGTGCAACACTGGAAAGTTTTTCTCCTGCATCTCAGCTCCAGGCACCCCCCCTCAGTTCCTCCAAGCCAGGAAGTTGTCTGACTATGAGGTAGAGCTGTCATGGGAGCCACCACTCAATGCCAATTCAGAAATACTCTACTACATAGTCAGAGTTTGGTGAGTCTAGAAAACATAATTACTCATTTTATTTAAAAGTGAGAAATTGGTAAGAAAGAGCTTGACAGTGTGGTGTGAGTTGTTTTTTTTTTTTTTTTTTCTTTTTTCTTTTTTAGGAATGAAACTGCTGAGACTTGGCAGAATGTGACAGGGACGTCTGTGGTTATTAATGTGGACTCGGAGAGTCGCTACAACGCCTCTGTCTCCAGCTGGACCAGACTGGGAGACGGAGGAGTGCTGATCTATATCAGCTTCACCACCACAGAAGCAGGTACCGCACACTGTGACAGCTGGCTTTATTCGCTGCCTCGCATACAAAATGAACTTTTCTTTGTGCATTTTCTGCATAGTGTTGAGTCAGTCTCCTGTCTCGTCTTTCAGAGCCATTTGACCCGCCACAGAATGTGACGGTTGTAAATGTGACCGCTTCCTCTGTCACCTTGATGTGGCAACCACCGACCGAACCAAATGGAATCATTGTGCACTACACCATTTACTACACCGATAACAGCACTGTGATAGAAAAGGTAAATCACAAGTTTTAAGCCTTTGGGTAGGGTAGCTTAAATTTACAGTTCTCCCTGCTCAGCACTTGGTTGCTGTACGGTTGTGATGAATTGCTTTTCTTATGTTTTCCCAAATATCTTCTTTTTTTCTTTTTTCAGCATTTTGACTTTGTAGGAAAAGCTGCAAGAGGTCATAGAAATACCTGCCTTGCATTAAGTGGTTTTACACATGTTCTCTAATAGACCCACACAAAGAAGTCCACCATTGTGGAAGTAAAAGAACGCCGATATTTAATTTTCAAGTGTAATGCTGAATTTGTCTTCAGTCTTCCTGGTTCAGTACTTTGTAGAACTACATTTTAGTGCTACTACATCTGCAAGCCATCATGACACACGGCTATGTATTGGTCTGAATCCTCGCACTGTAACTCTCGCACTATGTTTAGCTTCGTTCTCCTGCTGGTGGATGAACCTTCTGCCTAATTTCAAGTTTTTTGCAATCTATAAAATACTTTGCCCTGTTTTAGCTCCTCAGATAAGTTTAATCCTCTTACCTGTCCCTCTAGAAGAAATCCTAACATTTATTTTAGTCTGTTGTTTTTTTCTGGACAGCCATTTCTTTATTAGATATACAGTTGTGCCATACGGCTTCTTCAGAGTTTTAACATGCTCCTCACTGATCTTGAACAAATCTCTGAGGCTTTCATAAACTTATACTGAGTTTAAATTACACATGTTGACTCTTATTCACAGTAGCAGTGATGGACATGTGTCATTACCTTCACCGTACACATTTTATACCAAAACACTGCTCTAATTTCTTCTTTTCAGCTTTTGATCCATGACTCCAGAAAGAAATCCATCTCATTTTAGGAGGGATGACAAATTCAGCTGAGTCTTGTGTCGATCAATACCTTTCTTGTTTATTTCTCACACGTCTCTGTACACAGACTGCTTTGTGCAAATGTGGAAAAACCTGACTCAGTTTGTGGAAATAACTAATTTTTTTCCCCACAGAGAGTTCGAGTGCCAGACTTACCACCCCGTTACCTCCCCGACTCGCCCTTCATCTACACCCTGACTCGACTGATAGGAGGCAGCAACTACACCCTATGGATGACGTCGAGCACCGTACAGGGTGACGGAGGGGTCCAGTCAGAACCTATAAACCTGCTCTTACCAGAAGACGGTCAGTCAGAAACACAAACAAACCACAGTCTGCATATATCTCCATAGAATTATATATTAAAAAATATATCAAAATACCTATTGTATATTCCATTTAAGGCTAGAAAATATGAGTAATATTCATAGCACTTCTGGAGGGCAAGTCTGCACTCTTTTTTTTCACATCTTCTCTTACCTTGAAATAAAATTACATAAAAACTCTGCAATAAAGAGACTTCCAGGCAGGCAGTAACAGGAGATAACTGTCAGTACGTTGGACTGTTTGGCTGTGACACAATGGCATTTTATGCGTGACAAAAAAAAAAAAAAAAAAGGGAGGGATTAAAAAACTAAAAATAAGGAGTAACTTTGGAAGAAACAGAGAACTGAGAAGCTTTTTGAACGTTTATGTCGTTTTGTGCTGCCAAAGTAGTGTTTCCATGGTGAATGAAATTGGCTATATTTCTATTCAACATTTAATTTTTTTTCTTTTTTTTTTGTCTTTGTGTAGTAAAAATAAAATTATTCTCTAGGTTTTTATGTGATTTTGGGAAAAATGGTGCAGACTGCCACCAGACTTTGTAGAAAACAGATTTTGCTGCCTCTTTGTAATGCTGACATTTTGTTTTTGAAGTATTCTCTGTCTCTGTATGTTCATACTGACCCTGTATCTCTGCCTGTGCTCCAGTTGCTCCACTATCAGCCAAACATCGGACCTCCAGGGCAACTTGTCCCTCCTGCACAGCCAAGCCCAGCAGGGGCTCACTCATCGGGTCATAGACTCCTTATAACCATGTTTTTTAATGATTATCTAGAGCTTTGATATCCCCTTGATTTCCCCTTTGTTTACCTCTTTTCTACTCTGTGTATGATAAAGTCTTTCCAAAGGAGCTGAGAAGAACAGGATGAGTATTTCTTTTTATCTTTCCTTCTTACTTCTCTAAATTTTCAGTGTGCAACTTTTACTTCAAAGTCTCCCTTGTGCATTTCACATTGCGCTGTTGATATTATGCAGTAGCTGTTTTCTGTTCAACTCTGCTGTATTTCTGTAATGTTAATGCAAATTTCAATTGTTCTGTTAAATGTAAATGAAATTATGACCACTAACTTGAAATACTACTTTACATGACGCCCTAACTGGTTGGCTGTTTATTTCCAATGAACTGTTGTACTGTGTTTTAATGATGGACACCTTCATGATAATAAATTCTCCTTAATTTTGTTTGGTGTTTTAAGCAGCGTTCAGTAAAGGTAACACCATCTTACCTGTTTCCTTTTGCAGTGCCAAGTGACCCGGTCTCAAACCTGACAGCTCAGATCTTCAGCTCCACGATCATCATTGTGAGCTGGGATCCTCCCTCCGAGCCAAACGGCCGTCCCTACTACATCCTCACCTTGCAGGAGGCTGGCATATTCCCAAACATGAGCAGCACAGGCACCGTGGCTGTGAACAAGACCATCAAGCAAACCACAACCGACAATGTTTTCCTGTTTACCAGACTGAGGAAGTATTTTCAATATATACTGACTGTTACTCCAGCAACGGGAGCTGGTCCTGCCTACAATCAAACCAGCACCATGTACCTGAGAACAGATGAGGACAGTGAGTGTATTTATTTTTTTTATGATTTCAACATCCAAATTTACAATACTGCATTCTCATCCGTGGAACTCATTATGGTCTGTCAAGCTGGTACAGTGGAAACCAGAACTTCACACAGTTCACTACAGTTGTCATGATTTTAATCATTTACATTTATGCACTAGTTTGTGCTGATTGGTCACATGGCATTCAAATAAAATGCAATATAATTTGTGGTTTTAATAAAACATCACACAAGCAACACTATGCTACACACGGACACACAGACAGCAGCACTGATGATTGTATGTTTCTCTCTTTAGTTCCCAGTTCTCCTCCATTGCTGTTGTCAACTAGAAACCTTTCTTCCTCCTCCATCGCTGTGGTGTGGCAACGCCCTCTGGAGGCTAATGGAGAAATAACAGAGTACAGCCTCACTCTGTCTGGACCTGGGGGCACAAACACAACGCAGGTCCCCAACACATCTGTCATCCTCACTAATCTAGCGTCGTTTACGGCTTACAACCTCACCATCGTAGCCTCAACGCGTAAAGGCGCAGGGCCCAGCCTGCTTGTGCAGCTTCACACTGATGAAGCCGGTCAGTTAGAAAGCAGATCCCAAAGATTTGAAGTTAAGGTAATCATTTTCTATTTTGATTTTTTTTTTTTTTTTTTTCTGTGCTGTGTCTTCCTAATTCTTCCCTCCAGGTCCTTCCTCTCCTCCCCGTAACCTGACTATATACAACCACACAGCCGTTTCCGTGTGGTTGACTTGGGAGCCTCCTCTGGAGCCTAATGGAGTGGTGATAAAGTACGGATTCCGGATCCGAGACCTCATCACACAAACCGTCACACATCGGGTACTGTTAATTTCACACACTGAAAGCTCCTTCACAATAACAACAGTACACACACAACCCAACACACACACACGCATACACACGCACACTGCACAGAACCACTCAGGAAGAATGCGCACGTACGTGGGGTAATTTCACACTCCATGTATTGCTTTGCGGTAATATTATCCTTAAACGCACGTGTGCATTTCTGTGCTGATGCACTGATCTTATCCACTCCATCAGTGAATCTGGATATCTTAATCTTGTATGTGTGTTTTATTTGGTTGTGTGCTGGAACAAATGCAGAATTCCTCTGGTTCGTCGACCACAGAGCATCTGTCAGGCTTCAGGCCTCACAGCTCCTATGAGATCAGTGTGTACAGTTACACCAGAGTGGGCCATGGGAATCAATTCAGCAGCCCTGTGACCTTCACAACCAATGAGTCAGGTAAAACACACACTGGAGGAAAGTCACACAGATCCACGTTCCTTTAGTGTGAAAGGTATTTAATTCACGTTTGCTTTAAAAAAAAAAAAGACATCTTGGGGCAAATAGGATTTTAGCAATAAAAACTGTTTTATTTCAGTTTGTTTACAAGACACCTTATTTTACCTGTAACCTTAAGGGGGAGGATGGGGCGATCCTTATCTATTGTCACTTTCTTTGAAGTGCATTTGCAGGTTGTGCAGTAAAGATGCAATGTGGTAATCTCAAACTGGAAAGAAATTTAAGAGAGACTGTTTTTTTTTTCTCCTGAAAGATCTAAGTAACAATTTTTGTAAACTGGTTGCAACTGAGGCATTTATAATTAATGTTTTAATCTTGATCGAAGTGTTGGAAAAAAATAATTTATATATATATATATATATATATATATACATATTTCCATTTCCTTACTCTATAAAACACAGATGTCTGTTTTCTTGTGGCCCCTCTTCAAAATGGGAAAGCTCCAAGAACCTTATTTCTAAGTGAGGCAAACTTGATCATAAATCTGCGAAAAACTAAGCTTGCCTAAACTTGTCTACACATAAATATAAAATCGGTGACTTCAAAAACTTAAAATAACTGGAACAGTGTCAAGCAAGGCTGGGTGAGAACTTTTTTTTTTTTTATCTTTTCAACGTGCACAGTGAGGAGGATGGCAAAATAAATAATAACAATAATAAAAAATCTTCAAAGCTTACTGTTTGAGAACTGCAAAGTGTTGCAGTAGAAATCTGCTTCTGTAATCAACAACAAACCGGCTTCTGTAATTTTAACGCCAGAAGAAAGTGGAGCCCTTCCTCCGGGTCAGGGTCTGCTTTAAGTGGAGGAGTTTAAATATCTGCCTTGTTCCTTGACGTTAAGGTACAGCGGGAGATGGTTAGACAGATTGGAACCTTATCTGCAGTAATTGGAGTGCTGATGTGATCTGTTAAGGTGGAAAAAAAAAACTGCTGAAAAAGAGCAAAGCTTTATTTTATCTGTCTTTCTACATTCTACCCTTCGAAAACAGTGAATCCTCGGATGGATAGACAAAGCATTTAAACTTTATTTTTTGAAGTTGATTTGCATTACTTAGATTTTCTAATTAGTTAAAATGCAACTTTATGTTTCCCTTGAGTTTAAATATGGTATGAGAGAAAGGCCCGTGTCTCTTACTCACTCTTCTAAATGAAAAAGACAAGAGAGCATGGAATTTATGTAAGGCAGATGAGCGTTGATTTCCATAAGTCACAAAATGGCAACAAGTAAACGACTAGCCTACACTTTTCTGTATCTGCAATCAGAATAGAAATGCAAAGTTCAAAAGAACTGTAACTGTGGGAAATAAGGTTTACATTGTGACCATGCACAAAGAGGAAGATTACACGTAGAATAACAAGGAAAACAAAAACAGAGCTTTAATGTTGGTGTAGCTGTGGAAAAATACTACTGCAATAAAATATGTATTCATCTTCTAAAACACATTTTCTGAGGGTTCAAATCGATGTGAAGTTTTGTATGTGAATTTTGTGTCTATGTGACTGATAAGAAATGCCTCTAAAGGGTCAGCAAAAAAAAAAAGAAGAAGAAGAAGAAAGAACTTACTTCCAGCGGTTACCTGTTCAATAGGTCTGAGTCAGCTCTACAATGCATGCAATGCCGTGGAGGCTCATAAAGTTTATAGGCGGAAAATGCTTCAAAAAGTTTCTCTCATAGAGACGCGATAAAGTGTTTGCTCAAAGTGCAAAGAAATATTTGAGGTCTGAGTCCACCAAAAAATTTGCACTTCTGTGACTTTGGATTCTCAGTAGCTGCTATTTGAAACGCTCTGATCCTCTCCACTTTTTCAACCTGCAAGTAATCTGACACCTTCCACTATATGAAAATTGGTTTTATTAAAAGAAGTCTGGTCGAAAAGTGTAATATTGGCTCTACTGATGAAGAGATAAAAGTGGTATCCAAAAATAGCTGAAAGTACCTGACATTCACTGTAACTGGAAAAAGTTTAGTTGTTAGTAACAAGCTTCTGTTTTTTTAGGACAATGTGTGAGACTGGGGAGAAAAAAAAAATCCTTGACAATTGTGGAACTTTTTTTTTTTTAAAAAAATTTAATTTTTTCCAGAAAAAAAAAAAAAAAAACCCTGAGTCTTGTGACATTTATTAATTTTGTGTATGCAGAGCTGATGGGTAGTGGGGGCTGATGATGACAGCCTATCCAAGCTGTCACTGTGAGCAGTGAACATCCAGGGAAGATTACAAATCCATCACAGGGCCAAACGTAGATACACACAATACAAACACGGTTTCTTGCTGTACAGTAAATCAGGAGTCACATATTTTGTGCTTTAAAAATGATTCAGACCATTCAGCCTTTGATAACAACAGACTTCATTTAACAGGTTTAGAGATAACATCTAAGAATGTAAAAGATTCTTGTATGCTGTAGGTATTAAACCTACTAAGATGTAAAGGTCCAGCTAAATTTACTGGTCGGGGAGGAAGACATTGGTCAAAGAAGAACCCTGAACTTTTTATCTGCAATATATATATGGCAACATGTGGAAACGTGCTGGGCCTTTGAAAGTTTTTGAAGGAAGACACTGCAAAGAAGGATGTTTGTGGAACTGGAGGTAAAAATTAGAAGAATCTTGAGAAAACCAGGCTACATAACCCAGAGTCCATCATTGTTGTGTAACTGTAGAAAAAAAAAACATGAATTACATGAAAATATTCAAGGATATTAAAAGCTAATAATTTTGGTGCTACTACAAAATGAACCAAAAAAATATACTGAAGAAGTTGCAATCAATTAAAAAAAAAATTATATGTTTAACATAATTATTGTTTAGGTTAGTTCATAATAATTACTTAATAGTGAAGCAAATCTGCAAGTAGACAATTACTCTTTCAAAACTTAACCGATGCAGAAATGTGGTTGAACTAAATATAGCTACTAAAAAGTGTTGAAATTAAATTTGGCCTCTTGCTCTCTTCTGCACCTGTCTGTAGTCTCTGATGCTGTAGGGAATCTATCCTGCTCAGGATTGAGCTGGGATTCTGTCAAACTGTCCTGGGAAGTTCCAGCCAACCCAAACGGACAGATCCTGTTTTACGAGATCACAGCGGAGGTCGACGTGCAAACCTTTACCCACCAGGCCTACGCACCGCAGTACAAGGTGACCGGGCTGTCACCAGACCAAGAGTACGCATTCACTGTAGCTGCGGTAAACTCTGCAGGACCAGGAGACGGCCTGAACTGCACAGCATTCACCCTTTCTGAATCAGGTTAGCCACGTTAAGTGTTTCGTTCTTCACAAAAATAGCATGTTTGTTTTGTATTTGAAACTAACTCCTCCTTGCCTCCTGACAGTTCCAACCGCTCCCCGCTTCCTGTCCATCTCTGAGGTCACAGCAACCAATGTGACACTTTGGTGGGCAGTGCCGGTCTCCGTTCCTGGCCTGCTGAAAGAGTACCATGTTGTGGCTCAGCTGATTTCGGCTGTTTGCGAACCAAACACACAGGGTGCTGTCCTGCCAACCCCAGAGGACACCATGGCCTTGCACTGCGTGGAGGACAATTTTAATGTGTCAGTGAATGCCTCAGATGGTGCCGAAGAAGCCAGTGTCATCCTCCAGTCCCTGGCTAAATACAGATACTATCGCTTCAAAGTGGCCGCTGTGACCAACGCTGGACCTGGAGAATATGCAGAGTGGATTTATGCACAGACCCTGGCTGGAAGTAAGAACACAAACTATTGATGTGACCTTTATGTGTTGTCTAATTAGACTTGGTAGCCATACAAGGCGTCATGTAACATTCGACTAATACATTTTGGATTTGCACACAGACAGATGAATTAGATTATAGAGAATGTACAACTCTCTATATAAAAATGTGAAGAAAAACAAATTCAATCAGTAGGATTTTTCTCCCTTCATAAGTTCACACCTGAAAGTCTTAAAGTGGTGTAGCATAATGCTTTCCAACAGGTTATTAAAAATAATCCGGCAGGGACGCATCTTCATATTACTCTTAAGCTGCCCTTATTCACCAGGCTTAATATTAAAGCTATTATTACATCAATCTGTGTATCTAATTTTAAATCTCCATAGTGATATTGTACTGCTGAGCTCCGATCTTTATCAACATAATTGTGCAGGAAAAGAATGTGTGGTTTTCAAAACTTATCACAAATAAAAGTTTGAAGCATGTTTTGTGCATTCGCATTTAATCTCAATCAAATTAGAAGGAATCTTACCACAAACTCTCACCTGGTTTTAAGTCTGGAGACTGGATAGAGCAGGAACGAGCAGGAATGATGTGCATATTTTAAAAAAAATTAAAAATTAAAAAAAAACCCAGGTCAGGGCACTGGAACACAAAATGTCAATAACTGAGAGCATAAAGGTGGGTCTTTGCTGCAAGCCAGTGTCCTGTAGATTCTTTGTAGCCCCTCTGATCTTACCTGGAGTGATAAATCAGTTTCCATTTTTAGACATCCATTGTGTCTTTAATTCCAGGTCAAATACCTGTTTGCATAGAAGTGCCAGATCTACAAGGATAAAGAACTCGAAGTTGCAAATTAGTAAATACTACTAAAATATCCCTGCACATTTCCCTATAGCTCAAAATGACAGGTTTTTCACTCCTAAATCATTAATACATACTTGCACATCAGGGTTTTTGAAAAAATAAAAAATAAAAAAAATAACATAATAAATCATAAATCTAAAGAGACACTTTGTCCAGTATTTCAGTCTGTCCAATTTTTGTTTAAGTCTGACTGGTTTCTTTTTTTTTCTCCTGAGGAAAATGAAATGACATCAGACTTTTCAACCCTCAAAGGGTTCTCGAAGGCTATTTGAAAAAACAAACATTCTCACAGTATGATACTTCCACTTTAATATTTCACTATCGATAATGTTTGTTCAACGAGATGTGCATTGTTTGTTTGTTTGTTTTTTCTTAAAATGTGCATACAGGCAAAAAGTGCCATTTTGGTCTGTCCCCTTCATGGCCTGGGGTAAAATTCAAACAGGACTTCCTTATTGCTTTATTTTTGCAATGACTTTCTTTATGCTGCTCTTCCAAAAAAAAAAAGGCAATATTTGAGGAGTGCCTGAATAATAGTTGTCCTGTCAATAGATTTTCTGCTCTTCTCAGTTTTGGATCTCTGCAGCTCTGATTAATGGTCTCCTTACCTGGCCTACCAGTTTTGGATGAGAAGCAGTTTTGATGGATTTGCAGTTTCACTATTTTCATTTTCAGATGAATTGAACAATAGTCAGACGTTCAAAGCTTTGGATGCTGCTTTACACCTAAAACTGTGCTCTTTTCCTTCCTCTTTACTGTTATGTACTTCTTTATTTTGGTCTAGCATTTAAAATCCCAGAAGTTTGTGGTAATTACATTAGAGAGTTATCAGTACTTTTCCCAAGGCTTGCAGTGGTTAGGATACCATGATTTAGTTGTCTTATTTTGGCAAACACATTCCGTGTCACAACCTGTATTACCATAATGACTTTACTACCTAATATATACTTTCAGAATTAAATAACGTACCTCCCCTAAAGGCACCAAGGCAAGCAAAAAAAGTCTGCAGTTTGCTTACTTGGAATCCAATAAATGACCTCAATTTCTTTGATTTTGTTTTGTCCTGTGTGATTAATGTGTTTCCAGGCTTATATGGAGCCACAGCATTTCAGAAAATCACATATTTTTGCTTTTCTCCTCTCCTTAGATCCTGATGCTCCTCCTCGTGACCTTAAAGTGACCCCAACCTCCACCAGCCTCCGGATTTCGTGGAAGGTTCCGGCTGTTCTCTCGGGACCAACTTCATATCTTGTGCAGGTTGCCTTCCTGAGCCATAACCTCTGTAAAAATCAAAACATGTACCTAGTTAATAATAAATTATGTTACTTGGAAAGACAACTATTGGCTTTCCTTGGTCAGAGTTTTAAAGCATCAGATGAAGCACCGATTATTGTGTTGTGCATCGAATGACAATTAATTTATAATAACCATCATGAACTTTGTTGTTACCTCAGGTGGATGGTCCTGGTGTGAACATCTCAATAGTTCGGGTCCCAGGAGAGTTGACAACAGTCTTTGTGACAAACCTAACAGCTTTCAACCTTTATGCCGTGACTGTCACCGCCTTCACTGGTTCGGTAGAGGATGCCGGCAGTGACGGGAAAGCCGTCGGGCCTATTGTCTTCCAGACACTGGAGGAAGGTACAGGAGTAAAACCTTATCATTATTTTTTACCTTATTTCTCTACTTTTACATAATGCCTTATTATTATTTATTTATTTATTTTTTTTTTTGTACAGAGCCGAAAGACCCTCCCAAAAATGTGACAGTCTCTGCTGTCCCAGAGAGAGTGAACCTGGTCAGGGTGAGCTTCAGTCCCCCCGAAGAGCCTAACGGAAACATCACTGCCTATTACGTCTTTGTGTATGAGAAGGACCAGCTGGTGAAAAACATGAGTCTCGATAAAATCCACGGAGAACCAAACATGCTGTTTGCTTTCGTTGAAGGCCTTAAAGGAGGGCACACCTACAGCATACAGGTGAGGAAAAACCTCATCTCATTTACCAGGGAGACTGGGGGAGATTTTTTTTTTTTTTTTCTGGAGCAATTTTGTTACTTTTGTATTGCTTAAATCTTTTAACAGACTTCTTACAAGTTTTTCTTAAATGTCTTCATAGTGTGATGTGATTGATTGTGATTTTTCATGAGACTGATGCTTTGGTCCCCTGTGAAACCATTACTCCAGAGCAAACGAACCAGACTGTAGTTGGCAAATGAATACTGGAACAAAGGCCTTCATTGTTAGAGATATTTCCTCTTGTCTGATGAAAATAAAACAAACTGGCTATAATGACCTGTGACTGCCATGACAGTTGAGGCAGCATTATGCTGTGGAGTTGCTATGCTGGAGAAGGAACTGGTGTACTCAATACAACAAGTCTGCCAGCAAAAGAACATTATTTGGAAATATTAATGTAGCCATCTTTTGAAGACATTAATAAGTAAATCTCTGATGCATTCTCTCTCCCATTAATATGTCAATTCTAACTGACCTAAAACAAGAGAAGTTTGTTCTGATTTTGCTTTAGACAGTAAGAAAAAAAAACTGTATGTGTCTCTTTTTTTATCCAGTGTGGGTATACTTCTGGTCTCAATTGCATTTTGTGCAGTAACCTTTGTGAATCAAGTCCACAACCGAAGCAAATGGCAAGTCCAAAAAATAAGTAGAAGCGGTTGGATTTCCTCATGAATTCCCTCCTGAGTGTCTTGTGTTGGGTATGGGATTAAAAGCTGTTCAATCGGTCGCAGTGCTGTTTTCTGATGTGTGGAGACATGTTGGTTTTTATCTGACAGCGGGGAGACAATGATCAAAAGTTTTCTTTTTTGTCCTCAATAGAGCAGAACTCTTTCATTCTTCTTCCAGACCATGGTGTGTTTCCGACAGTGAAAGTGCATGTCATGGGTCTGGACACACGCTTTCATGAAGCAGCAAAAACCCAAAAATCATGTTTTCCACTTCCTTAAACCTTTTGGGGGCTTAACTTAGAAATGGTTTGACACCTTTCTGTGCTCATCCCCTCTCTGCTGTCTTCCCTGATTTCATGTGTCTGTTCTGTTTGTAGATTGCAGCAAGAAACGGGGCGGGCAGGAGCCCACTCAGTCCACAAGTTCAGATAACTACAGGGATTAAAGGTACAAGCCCCTGTAGAACAGTGTGCTCACCGGTGTGTCTTTTCTTTTCGTTGCAGTGATTTACCAAAATTATCTTTGTAGTTGTAGCTTTAGAGCAGGTGTTCTGGGGTAGGCACATTATGACACCATTAATGTGACATTAGCTGTGTAATGAAGGCGATTTCCATGTTATGTATTTCATCTTTTGCTGTAACAGGTAAAACCTCACACATGCAATGTTTCCCCAGATAACTGTGTGTGTGCGCGTGTGTGTGTTTTAGCCCCATCCAAGCCAGCCCAAAGACCCCAAGCAGTGCTGGGCCAAGGAGGGGTTGCCATGGTAACCCACAGGAGTATAACCATCCACATGCCTGCCTGTTTCTATAGTGACGACAACGGACCAATCGCAAAAATCCAGGTCATCGTGGCCGAGTCAGGGGGTATGACAGTAATCACTTTTTAGTTAAATACACTTGAATTTCTCCTTTTTTTTGTAGTTATTATTAGAGCACACCACCTTGCCCATAAAAAGCCCACACTCATGCATTCTCCAACTTTTATTCTGTCACAGTGAGGGACAGTGAGAACCTGACCAATTGGAGGGGAGCCTATTTTCACCGTCCTGCTCCTTACCTCACTGACGCGGGGTTCCCCAACCCCACCTGCTTCGCGAGGGACAGGGCAGCAGGTGCGGATGTGCTTGTCGGAGGCGGTCGCAGTGTGTCTGGAGATGACCCGTCGCTGCTGAGGCACAACCACACCATCACAGAAACCTACATGATTGGAGAGAATGACAGCTGCATGGGACAGAACGACACAGATCTTTTCTGCAACGGACCTCTGAAGCCCAACACCGTCTACGTGTGAGTGTGCTGGAAGCATTCCGAGCAATGAAATGTTTTTAAAAATTGACAGGTTTTGAAAGAATAAAAAGCTCCTGTTGTTCTGCTGCTGTTTTATGAAAACAGGTTTAAATTCAGAGCCACGAACACCAAGGGCCAATACACGGACTCTGATTTCTCCGAGTATATCAGAACTGCAGGTAGATCCTCAAGAAAAGACCAAGCAATAATTACTCATCTTCGAAAGAACTGAACTTACTGTGCAAAAAATTAAAATGAGCCTTCATTTATTTAGAGTTTGCCTCTAATACCATAATAAAGGAACCAAAGTCCAAAAGCAAACTTTAAATGACTTTCTTGAACATGATTGAAGTTGCATATCGTATTTTCAGTTCACCGTGAAAAAAAGAGGTTCACATACTTCATTAAAAGCACAACATTGGGATGGAATTCATTCTGATGCTGATGGAACGTAAAGTTCTGATAATAAGTGTCCTTGCTTGTTGTTAGGTTGCTTTAATGCTTTCTCTCTCACTTTGCAGCGGACGGACTACTGACCAAAGAGGAACAAATCATCCTGGGTGTTTTGCTGTCATTCTTTCTGGCTGTGTTCCTCATCCTCCTTATCTGTTGCTCAGTCAAGTGAGAGCAATCAAAATCATATGAAACAAATCTGTATATTATCACCACCGCACAATTTGAAGGTGTCAGTTTTTTTTTAATTTTTTCCAGTGATGGTAACTGCTCAGTCGACGTTTTGTTTCCAGGATCCATCAGCGTAAGAAAGAGGGCGGGACTTATTCACCCAGGGAGGCAGAGATCATAGAGACAAAGTGCAAATTAGATCAACTGATTGCTGTAGCAGATATGGAGCTGAAACAAGAAAAGCTCAATCGGTAAGCCTTTGTTGGTTTTAATATAGAACCATCACTTTGCCAATTTGTGTGGAAGCAGACTGCTCAGCTTTAGACTTGATTTAGCTATGCAAGACAAGATTCCAAATCTATGTGAACAAGGTGAAAACCCTCTTTGCTGCTGCCAACTTGATGTGCAACTCCTGTCAGCGCAGGATCATCTGGCGGTGTTGAGTTTGTTCAAAAAATAGACACAGTAGCTGCAGCGGCAACAAGACACAACACAGCATTGTGGCTTTGTAATTTCCCTTCCCCTCAGTTCTCTGCAGAACAGAGAAATCATTCTGTCTCCTTTATTCCAGGCCATTCTCTGCTACAAAACAGGAATCCAACTTTTCAGCTTCTTTTCTTTGCTTGCAGAGAACAAACTTGGTAGAGAACCCCACTAACTAAAAAAAATTTTAGTTAGTTATATATAGACGAGGTGCTAGAGGTACCATCATGGGAGGACAAGCCCCT